GAATGTTCTGCTCATAGTTTCTTACCATTTTCACTGTGTGGTCTACATCCTTTTGAAGATTACATATTTTATCTTCATTGTCTGAGGTCCTGTCTTCCAAGTGGTCAAATCTGTTGGTAATGCTTTCAACTGAGCATTTAATTTGGTTTATTGTTTCTTTTATTTCAAGTATTTCTGTTTTTTTTTTTCAGTACGTCTATCTCCGTATTGAAGTAATCTTTTGCTTCCTGTATTTTTTTTTATATAGCTCTTTGTCAAAATGATCTTTTGCTGCCTGTATTTTGTATTTGCTCTCTTATATCATCCTTTAATTTTCAGAACATTTTAATCATGTACATCCTGAACTCCTTCTCTGTCATTTCTTCTGTGTGCTGGCCATGGATTCTAATAATGTGGTATCTTGATTAGTTTGGGGCACTTTCTTCCCTTATCTTTTCATATTGCTTGTGTGTCTTCCCCTCTGGCTGTGTGGATCCAAGGTGTTACCATTTTTACCCTATAGGCTTATAGTGCCCCTGTAGGGATCCAATATTTCTCCTTTGAGGTGAAGGACAGTGTTAACAGATCCCAATATAAACAATATACACTCTAAAAACAAATGTTTGCTATTAAGACGTTTACAGTTTGATCACAATGTACACAAATGGTGAATTCAATTATTATGTACAATATACTCAGTAGGTTTGTAAAAAGGTTTACAATTTCTGATGGTGGACAGAGAACCAGGGGTGAGGAGTAGGATGATATGCTGAGGAGCTAGGAGGTGAGGATATAGAGTTATTATATCTTGGGAAGTGTGAAAGAGAAATGTAAAGAGGAAGATTAGTAGCAGGAAAAGGGAGAGGATGTAATTTTGGGTAGACAAGTACGTGGGAAGTCAGTAGATTACATAAAACAAACACACATAAAAAGAAACATAAAAAAGTTAAAATAGTAGAAATTGATAGAAAAAAAGATAAAAAATAAAAAAGAATATACAACATACCTATAATATACTATTCAGATGTCCTATTTATATAAATATACTATTTATCCAGTCCTCAAAATCCTAATTCATGCAAAGTACTTGGTTCCACATATGCTGGGGATGTGAGGGCAGGAGAAGAGCAAGGGAAAGGGAAAAAAATCTTGAAGGAAGAAACAGGGTTTGTTTTGGTTGGAGATCAGTATCTTTCCTGCTTCCCTTCCAATAGGTGGGGTTGTCTGTTGTTAGCTTGTATCTCCGCCCTCAGGATGGTGAAGGTAACCAGGGTGTCACTGTGCCAGGGTAGTGGCTGCTGGGGAGAGAGGGGAGTTAGAAACTGGGTACCTGGCCAGACAGAGTTCCAAACTGGGAGTTGCCTCCACTGAAGATGGTGATGAAGGTGACCCAAGATGGAGGTGCCTGCTTTCGGTAATGGGGTGTCGGGTCGGGTGGGGGAGCCGGGTGATCTGTTGGACGATGAATTCAGAGATGAGCTCTGTGGAGTGCAGTGTGTGGCTGTGGCTGACTTCAGAGCCTGTGTGAGGTTCCCAGGTGCAGGCAAGCTATGGCACACAGGGCACTATCTCCACTGCTACAGAGTCCCAAGACGGCAGCAACCAGGGGTGCCCCACATTGGTAGATGGGGGTCCACATGGGAGTGGTGGCCGGAGTTCCTGTGCATGGGAAGCTGCTGGGTGCCCTGCGTGGGAGCTGCGTTGGTAATTTCTGCATGAGTGGGTGGCCGAAAGTTCTGCTAAGGTGCACATGGTCCCGCTCGGGTACCTGGTCATCCTGCACGAGCAAGTAGTTGGGAGACCTACTCTGACGCTGAGGCCTAGAGCCCTGGACTGGCACAGTGACCTATGGTGACCATGATTCCTGTGCAGGAGCAGGAATATCACTCACAGAGAAGCAGTATTGTCACTACTTGAGTCCCAGTTCACAGAGCAACACAGAACGCTGCCTCCCTGTGGCCTGCCATCTTGGATCTCAAGATCAGAGGATTCTAATGAGAGAACAGAAAGCATCCAAAATAACGTTTCTAAATAAGAATTTGAGAAAAGATGGCATACACAAAAGTATCATTAGAATCCTAAGACTTGGAATGAACCTTCAGAGAACATAATAACTAAAGAGCTGAATCAGACATTCCCTAAACAGTAGATCTCAAAGCTTAACCTTAATATTAACAGAATGACTGCTAATACATTCCTTCTCTCTGGGGACTGACAAAATGTCCAGGAACCATAGATATGATTTGTGGGATGGGTTCAGGAATAGTTGTCTCACCATGAAGGTGGAATGAAAAAGTCAGACACCCCTGAGTTAGATCCACAGCTCTACCTTTTATCCATTGTCTGACCTTGAGCAAAGTACTTAATATCCCTAAAAGACATTAATAAAGAACTCTTTCTCTTCCCATCCTGTTTTCCATTTCTGTGTTGTTTTTTCATGCTGCTTTCTAAGACATTTTATCAGCACTGTCTCCCAACCCTTTTATTGAGGTTTTAATTCCTCTTGTCATAGTTTTAATTCCCAAGAGCTCTTTTATTTTCTCAATAGTCCTTAAAATTTCCTCTTCTTGTTTTATGGTTGCAATATCTCCTCTAATCTCTCCGAGGATGTCAATGATAGATGTTCCTTTTTAAAGTTTTCTTCTGAGCTTCAGGGATCTTCCCCAAGAGAATAGACCTGCAGTCTTCTGCTGGGGTCGGGAAAGTGGAATTATTAGACTTTGCAGAGTGGAGGAGGAAATTTGCAGGTCTGTTCACTTTTTGGACTGACTTACAGTCAGTTCTCTTGGTTTATGCCTACTTACAGATGAACCTGGCACTGCAAGTTCCTGAACCTTTTTGGAGTTCTCTGGTGTAAATTCATTTGCCTCTTGGCTTTCCTTATTGATGACTTGGGATGCAGCTTTCTCAGTTGTACTAACTCAGTTACTATTTGTCCAACTGCTATCTAGTTCCTAAAATGTGTCACTAATACTGTCTTCTGTCCTGAATCTTCTTACCTTGTGTTTTGATGCCTTTATAGAATTCCTTTACTATATATGTATTTTTGTTGTTGTTGTTTTTGGTACTGGGGATTGAATCCAGGGGCATTTAACCACTGAGCCACATCCCCCAGCCGTTTTTATTTTTTATTTTTGAGACAGGGTCTTGCTAAATTGTTGAGGCTGATCTCAAACTTGCAATCCTCCTGCCTTAGCCTCCCAAGTCACTGGTATTATAGGCATGTACAACTGTGTTCTGCTCCTTTACTATAATTTTTATCAGGGCTTTGAGGAGGGATCAAAGCTAAATGTGTGGGTTCAATATGCTACCTTTAACCAAAAGCATCTTAATTTTTTATGTCTTTATATCCATTCATCACTTTGCATTTCAACTATCTCCAAATGAGACACTCTTACCACTTTATTTCTGGAATTTTTTCTTCTCTCATCTTGTTCCCTAGGTTTGCACTACACAATGCTGTAGATTCATTTTCCTGAAAAATTGTCCTATGTACAGCTTTGATAGTAAATTATTTCTTCAGTTGCTTTTTTATTTTTGGATGCCAGGGATTGGACTCAGTAGCACTTAACCACTGAGGCACATCTGCAGCCCTATTTTGTATTTTATTTAGAGACAGGGTCTCACTGAGTTGCTTAGGGCCTCGCTGAGTTGCTGGGGCTAGTGTTGAACTCGTGATCCTCCTGCCTTCAACTCCCAAGCCTCTGGGATTACCTGCATGCACCATTGCACCTGGCCTTCGGTTGCTTCTTGATGCTTATAGCATAGAGTCTACATTCCTTAACCTGACATTGCAAGCCTTCCACAATTTAGCCTCCCATCTTTTTTCAACTTTATTTTGGTTACCAGGTTTTAAACTCAGAGATGCCTAACCATTGAGCTACATCCCTAGCCCTTTTGATTTTTTTTTTAAATTTATTTTTATTTAGAGACAGGATCTCACTAAGTTGCTGAGGCTGGCTTCAAACTTATGATCCTCCTGCCTCAGCCTCCTGAGCCACTGGGATTACAGGCATGTGCCACCACACCCAGCTCAATCTTCTTGTTAAGGCATTCTTTTAAAACACTCATCTCCATACCCCCTGTAGCTGGGCTTGCCTGGTGATACCAAGTAGATATAACAGTTTATTTGTTGATTTTGAGTGAATAACTTCAAACTCCTTAAGTGAATACCACTCTGACCAAAGGCCCCTTAAAACACAGTTCAGTCCAGGATTCAAAATCTACATTTTATATATACTATTTTTGATTGTGTATACTATTGCTTCAGTCAGTTTTTTTTTTGCCACTGTGACTAAAAGATCTGACCCGAACAATTTTAGGGAAAAAAAGTTATTTGAGAGCTCACAGTTTCAGAGTTCTTAGTCCATAGAAGGCTGGCTGTATTCCATGGGGCTCAAAGTGAGGCTGAGCATTGTGGTGGGAGAGTGTGGTGGAGGGAAAAAGCTCACATGATGATCAGAAAGCAGAGAGGGAGACAGAGAGAGTCTACTCCTAGATACAAAATATATACCCCAAAGCTACGCCCCCTAATGAGCCACATCCTCCAGTCATAGCCCACCTGCCTTTAGCCACCACTCAGCTAATCCAATCAGGGATTAACTCACTGATTAGTTTAAGGCTCTCACAACCCAATCATTTCTCCTCTAAACCTTGCATTGTCTTACATGTGAGCTTTTAGGGGACACCATATCTAAACAATAACAACCATATTGTATAATAGTTGTTTCCATGGTGTGTATTACTTGACACCTTATTTATTTTCTACTAGGCTCTGAAGGTGCAAAGATGAGTAGGATGTGTAAATTATAAATAATAAATTGCTATCATATGGTGCCAAGTTTAAGCTTCAGCTCAATGGCTGTTTTACATGTTGTGATTTAATATTCTTGTAGGGTTTAACCTTATAATTCATTATATCCTTCCCACAAAAAGAATGTTCTGACTTTCATATCAAATATGTTTATATCATTTTCCTGTCGTAAGTATATTGTTTTCTAATGATATTTTCTCTCCATCAGAATTGTCTTTGCTGACCTCTTCATTATGAATCTAATTCTTTGGGTGGAAGAATCATTAGCTGCCATCTCCTTTGATACTCTGATAAGTATCTTTGCAATATGATTTGGGATTTTAGTATCACAGACATTTTTGGTGCATACTTTGATTTTTTTGTGGGGGGAGTTCCTGGGTATTGAACCTAGGGGTGCTTAACCACTGAGCCACATTCCTAGCCTTTTTATATTTTATTTAGAGACAAGGTCTTGCTGCATTGCTTAGGGCCTCACTAAGTTGCTGAGGCTGGCTTTGATCTCATAATCCTCCTGACTCAGCCTCCTGAGCTGCTGGGATTACAGGTGTGTGCCACTGTGCCTAGCTTGGTGCATGCTTTGAAGGCTTGGAAAATATAAACTTTTAAAATTCTGCTTTTGACCACTGAATAATGCTTAAAACAATTTTACTGCTTCTGTACTATACATGATATAGAAAATGTACCATTGGAAAACTACAGAGAACAACCATTTTAGAATTAAAGATACAAAAATATTAAATCAAACACAGTAACATTTTCAAAGACACTGTTGAATATATTTCTCATATTAAAGATTATTTGCATTTCCTTTTATCTTTGGTGGAAAAAAAAAGGACATGTTGTAGCAAGTCCGACGCCAACCAACTTAGAAAAGTAATGAAGTTTTATAGTGGGAGAAGAAGATATAGTCAGATAAATGGGGCTATTCAGTTTACAGATTTGAAGTTAGTTTATTATACATGTAGGAAAAAGGAACAGGATACCAAAAAGACTAAATGAGGTCACACTTCAAGTAGAGTATATAAAGATCTAGCATGCAATTACAGTGGAGAAGTCAGAAAATACAAACAGGAATGTGGAATTTCACAAAGAACAGAAGAAAATATTGAAAGCTATTGAAAACTACTAAAGAGATAAATCCTTAGGCAAATACTAAGAGAACATTTTAACATTATAAATTATTTCATGTTGGAATAGTTACTAGTTAGTCTTGTTCAGTCTCTCCCTTGAATTTATAAACAAGGATAAACATCTTTATTGATTGTCAAGCTGTGTGCCATCTAGTATGGTGGCTACTGGCTCTATGAACTTATTGAGCACCTTAAATATGGTTAGTCCTCATTGAGATGTGCTGTAAATACAAATTATACACTAGTTTTATTTTTTATTTATTTATTTTTATATATTTATTTTTTAGTTATAGGTGGACACAATATCTTTATTTTACTTTATGTGGTGCTGAGGATTGAACTCAGTGTCTCATGCATGGTAGGCACACACTCTACCTCTGAGCCACAACTCCAGTCCCTATACACTAGTTTTAATACTGAGAACAATAAAACAAAAAATGTAAAATATCTTACTGTTTTTTTGTGGTACTGTGAATTCAACCCAAGACCTTGTGCATGCTAGACAAAGTTCTACTACTGAGCAGCCTCTCTGCTTATGATCACTAATCTTTATATTGGTCAAAACTTTAAATTATAATATTTGGACATGTTAGATCACATCAACTATGTTCTTTTTAAAAAAATTAGTTGTTGATAGACTTTTATTTTATTTATGTATCTGCAGTGCTGAGAATTAAACCCAGGGCCTCATACATGCTAGGCAAGCACTCTACCCCTGAGCTACAATCCAGCCCCAACTATGTACTTAAAATTGTTCTTACCTGTTTCTTTTTCACTTTTTAATGTGGATACTAAAACTTAAAACTACATTTGTGGCTTGCATATTTCTATTGTACAGGGCTGATTTAGCCTTTGCCCATATAATATTCCACATCCTGTCCAGATTCAAGATTCTATGCCATTATTGTGATTCTGTCTGTATAAATTTATTTCAATGTCATTGCATTCTGATTGTTACATCATTTATTTTTGAATAATTTAGATGTCCATGTCACCCAACCATATCCTGTGGCAGATTCCTGAACAGAGCTTCTTCACAAAACCATTTCTTGGCATTGTAATTGGTGGCATTTTATCCTTTGGCTGTATTTTTATTGAACTTTTTCATTAAGAAAAGTATTTGGTGAGTATCATGTCTTAATAATCTCAAAAGTTTTGATTTTCAAAATTTTAACTGACATAATGATTCTACATATTTATGGGGTACAATGTGATCATTTAATATTTTTATATTATGTTTAATGATCAAATCACGAAGGTTAGAAAATGGGTACCTAAGTATAGTTAAGTTAGGAATAAATTCTAATGTTTTACAGCACAGTAAGATGGCTAAAGTGTACAACAGTTTATTACATATTTTATAAAGAACTAGAAGAGAGGAGTTCAAGTTTTAATTTTTTTTGTGGTACTGGGGATGGAACTCAGGGCTTTGTACCTGCTAAGCATGTGCCCTGTCACTGAGCTATACCCCCAACCCCCAAAGTTTTAATTTTAATAAATTATTTTTCCTGCATTTCAAGGGGGTTAAACTGAAGTATGATTGTTTGTCAACTTTTTCACTGCTGTAATTAAAGGACCCAACCAGAACAACTGTAAAGGAGGAAAATTTTATTTGGGGGCTCATGGTTTCAGAGGTCTCAATCCATAGACAGCAGGCTCCATTCCTTGGGGCTCAAAGTGAGGCAGAACATCATGATGGAAGAGTATGGTAGAGGGAAGCAGCCCACGTGGTGATCAGAAAGCAGAGAGATGCCGCAGTCTGGCTGGGCACAAATGCCGCAGTCTGGCTGGGCACACAATCATGAGCCACCACACAGCTTGTAGATTCAAACAGCAACTCTTTATTCCCGAACTCACACCAGCCGTCTACAATCACGTTCTGGGGAAATCCACGTTCTCTTCCCAAATCCACCTTCTCTCCCAAATTCACCTCCACTGGGCTTCTATCTCCAAAATATACTGTCTGAATCCCGTGAGAACTCAAGGGGAACTCAGGCAGCAGGATACGCCCTATTCCCAGCAGGAATAATCTTAAACCTTAAACCTGGAACCTAAACTGGGAACGCCCTAAACAAGATTATCTTAAAACCGGGAACACCCTAATCTGCCTTGGTCCTTGAGCAAGGTTAAGTACATTCAATGTCACTGCAACATGTCAGCAACATGGGGTACGCTGGCAAGGAAATTGTCATACCTACTTGGCTAATGGCTCCCAGCATCTCCCCCCTTCTGATTAATTAAACAACAAGCAATGTGGCTTAAGGACCGTGCCTGGTAGGTTGTCCAATTCAACATATGGTTCTTACCCGTCATGGGAAAAACTGACCTTTAGGCGTCAGCCTCCTGTCTTAGGTTGATACCACTGCAATTGAATCATACCCGTCACTGACTACCGGTCCAGCATACAGCCATACTTGTGGATAGGTCTATGCACCAGTGGGGGGGTGAGGTTCTTTGCCTCACCTCTGTTGGCCCCCAAATTTGGCCTTGGTGCCAGTGGGGGAGTGAGGTTAATGTGGCTTATGGACCGTGCCTGGTAGGTTGTCCAATTCAACATATGGTTCTTACCCGTCATCGGAAAACTGACCTTTAGGCGTCAGCCTCCTGTCTTAGGTTGATACCACTGCAATTGGATCATACCCGTCACTGACTACCGGTCCAGCATAAGCCATTGGCCCCCAAATTTTAGACCATCACTAGCAGAAGGGAGGAGGATACAGAAATGCCACGACACCAAGCCAATTGACGGCTCCTTGGGAAAAATTGCATCACTGGTGACACCATCAGCAAAGATATGTCAGCACTACCACAATTAACATGGGGTGCGCTGGCAAGGAAATAAAAATTGCATCACTAGTTAATCACTGTCGTAGATGTAAGAATGGCCAAGCATGGTGTTCTGGATATCAGCTGTTATGGATTTGAGTCAAATCATCTTCTTTTCGATCTGTAGAAATTGTTTTAGTTAATCTCTCTGGAATCCAAATCGGCTGCTGTTCTCCCTGTGGAAACACACAAACAAAACCCCGACTCCAGAAAATCACTGGGTCAGGACCTTTCCATTGTCCTGTTAGAATATCTTTCCAAAGTACCTTAGGCTTATGTACATTTTTTGGATACATATGTCTTTCCGCAGCACTAAGTCCTGATGAATCCAAATTTAAAAAGTTTAGAGTAAAAAGCATTATTTTAAGTTTATCTTTGGGGGATATATACCCCCTTCCAATTCCCTCCTTTTGCTTTAATAAGTATATGTCTGTATCTAATAGTTGTCTTAGCTTTTTGCATTTTCTATCTGTAATACCTTACTTGACATTTTCAACCATTTTTTCTTATTTCTATCTTCTAATTTTTTTCTAATGTTTTTATATTTACCCTTAGTTGCTTTTTTCTCTCCTAGTTCTTTTGTTTCCTATTTTGTGGGTTTAAAATTCTTGTCTTCCTACATTTTTTTATCTTTCTACATCTTCTTTATCTTTTTTCTTTTTAACTTTCTATACTTCTGTCTTTAAAGTTTTTCACTTTAGATTTTTAATCTTCTTTATCTAAATATCTTTTATCCTGTTATCTTCCCATTTTTTTTAAAGTAATGCCTTTAAGATTAAGCTTCTTTCCTCCATCATGAAGGCATTTTAACCACCTTTAATTTAACCTTTTTAAAGCCTTTTAATTATCATCTATACTGTACTTTTAAATGTACTTTTTCACCACCTACAACTTCACTCTTTTAAACGAGGCTTAGATTTTGTTTAAATCGCTTCAATGTTAGTTTACATGGCTGCCCTTCAACCAAAGGCTTTTTTTTTTTAAACTCCATTGAGAAGCTTTGTCTCAATCTGCCATGTACAAATACCTTTTTCTTCTTTCTTCCTTTCTCAAGCTTTTAAAGTAAGTCTAGTTTCCTCAAAATCTTTTTAAATGGCATTTTACAACTTTTTACTTTACCACATAGAGATTATCTCATCTAGAAACATTTCTTTTTCCTTTAACCTTTTATATTAATATATTTCCACGTCTTGAATCTTTTTCTCTATTTTTTAACCGTTAACCCTTTTTATAAATTCACATTTTGAAACAACTCTTATAAAATTTCTGATTTAGACAAATTACTCCACTTTAATAAGATGAAAGACTTTCATGTTTTTATGATACTATAATACTATAATTGAAACCCAACTGAAAATTTTTCTACTCTTTGTATATAAATTACACATGATAGAATCTTAACACTTAGTAACCTTGTTTTAGCAAAGACACAGACCAAAGCAATATTAAACGTTTTTTCCATTCACCAATTTATGAAAACACACATGCTTAAATATATTACCTTATGTAACTTAATAAGTAAAGAGTGGTTGATGTTTCAACATTTTAGCTTTGTAAATTAATCAGAACTTTGTAGAAACCAAGATCTTAGACAAGTGTAGCAAACAGAACTAGCCCTCTCTTTCTTGTTGAAGAAAAATCCTTCTACAGGATACCATGGTGGTCCCATTGATATACTTAATAACTCGTCTTTAAAAAGCCATGGGCTACATTTTTGTATTGTATCAACATATGCCCTAATTGTTCTTGGTCTCACTGGGGTGCCTCCTTCCTCTAACAATTTCTCTTGCTCGGAGGCGAATAACTTCAAACCTTGAGTCAACCATTTTCCCCAGTTTGCCTGAGAAAGTTCTAGGAACAGGCAACTTGAAATAAAAACAAAATAAATCAAAACGAGAACACATAGTTTTTTGAATTGGTCACCCATTCTTTCTCTCTTCCTCAAGGGTGAGAAATTTCACTTACCTCTAAGCTTCAGAAGTCCCCCGTACGGGCCACCAAATGCCGCAGTCTGGCTGGGCACACAATCACGAGCCACCACACAGCTTGTAGATTCAAACAGCAACTCTTTATTCCCGAACTCACACCAGCCGTCTACAATCACGTTCTGGGGAAATCCACGTTCTCTTCCCAAATCCACCTTCTCTCCCAAATTCACCTCCACTGGGCTTCTATCTCCAAAATATACTGTCTGAATCCCGTGAGAACTCAAGGGGAACTCAGGCAGCAGGATACGCCCTATTCCCAGCAGGAATAATCTTAAACCTTAAACCTGGAACCTAAACTGGGAACGCCCTAAACAAGATTATCTTAAAACCGGGAACACCCTAATCTGCCTTGGTCCTTGAGCAAGGTTAAGTACATTCAATGTCACTGCAACATGTCAGCAACATGGGGTACGCTGGCAAGGAAATTGTCATACCTACTTGGCTAATGGCTCCCAGCAGAGAGAGACTCCACTCTCCAGATACCCAAAGGCACATCCCCAATTCCTACCTCCTCCAGCCACACCCTACCACTTGCATTCTCACTCAGTTAATCCCTATCAGGGGGTTAATTCACTGATTGGGTTAAGGCACTCACAACCCAATCATTCTTTCTCTGAACCTTCTTGCTTTGTCTCACATGTGAGCTTTTGGGGGATATCTCACATCCAAACCATAAAATGATAATACTTCACTTATCCTCATGTTATCCAGAAAATAGGAATCTGACTCAGGGAGATTTCCTAGAGAACTGTATTCATTCACTACTTTTTAAAGTGATTTTAATTGAAATTTCTATAAAGATTTACTTTTTTTAAAAAAGTAATCACCTATTATTAAGCCTTTCCAGATAACTTAGAAAAGTAGTTCTCAACTGAGCCTTTGTGGGGTTTAGGGATATGGGATCCCTTGGGTGGGAGGCAGCTAAATATGGGAAGAGACAGGGCTAGGGATGTAGCTCAGGGGTAGAGTACTTGCCTCTCAAGATGAGAAGTGGCAGCTCTGATTCTTATGTTTTTCATAGTGGCCTTCCATGGGCAGTTTCATTTATGATTCCTCTGCCAAAATCATTTTGAAGGCCATTGAGTGGGTCCTCATGTGTACTGAGCTGTAAGTAATGGTTTTCTGTCTTTTTCCTTTCTGTCAACTGTTAGTTCTGGTGTCAGGATGCCTGCTCCTATACCTTTCCTCTTTGTTACTTTTAATCTCTTATAATTCAAGAATTCTAATAACAAAATAGTTAGAAATGCACTTAAGTGAATAAATAATGCTCTTTGATTGAAGTGCAATGGCTTTAGTACCCCAGCTTTGTAATGACTCTTTCAGTTGTTCTGCATTCTTTTTTTAAGATTTCCTGATTCTTGACTGCATTCTGGTTCTGGGAACTGGCCAATTGGGGTGTTACCATGGAGGGATTTTTGGAGATGGACAAAGGCATCATGAAGTAAAATGCAATAGCCAACTGTGTGTTTTTGTAACACTTTTGTCAAACAAAACTGTCAAGTCTTCAAAAATCAGGTTTAATCATGTTCATTAAGTACTCACTTTTTAAATAGCATTATGACAAATTTGTTTGAAAGATAAACAATAAAATCTGTTACCTTGTCAGCAACTAAATATTTAACATGCTGCAGAATAGATTACAGTAACCATATTTTCCAGATGTTTTTTGATGAGAAAGTAATTTTAAAGCGAAAACTAAAAGGTTCTTTCAACGAATTTTCATTTCAGTGAAGAGCACTGTGTACAACCTATATATATTTATACAAAAGACTGTTGTGTACAACTTTGTATATATTTACTATCTATAGTGATAACTGTTCCCAACCATATACACCATTCTCACACCCAAGTATATATTTTATGTGGTACTTTAAAATCAAATTTTAGCTCTATAGTAGTGAAAGGAATTACCTCATTCTTTCAACATTTGACCAAAATATAATCCACACAGAGATTTTTTTTAAAATATGCATATTAAAAAGTATATTTAATAGAATTATGTGTACTGTGCTATGAAGACATTTGGAAAGGCTGCATGTCAATAGATATTCAAAGACAAAGTGGCGGGGCTGGAGATGTGGCTCAAGCGGTAGCGCGCTCGCCTGGCATGCGTGCGGCCCGGGTTCGATCCTCAGCACCACATACAAACAAAGATGTTGTGTCCGCCGAAAACTAAAAAATAAATATTAAAAAAAATTTATTAAAAAAAAAAGACAAAGTGGCATTTGATTCTGTTTTTTTTCTGTTGTATAATGTAGCTGCTGGTGTGTTTGGCATTTACAACCTTCCGTTTCTGAAGAGAAATTATTTTTAAATATGTATAGATGACATATGAATGTTAACCCATAAAAAGGGAGGGTAAGGAGGCAAAGTATAGAAGTTTATTGGGTTAGACAAAGGAGAATGAAGGGAAGGGAGAGCAAATGGGAATGGGAAAGACAGTAGAATGAATCAGCCATAGCTTTCCTATGCTCATCCATGAATCCATCATGAGTGAAACTCCATATCATGTACAACCAAAATAATGGGATCCTAATTAGAATGGGTTGTACTCTATGTATGTATAATATGGCAAAGTATACTCAACTGTCATGTATATCTAAAAACAACAAATAAAAAAGAAAAATATTTATAGAGAAAATTATACAGCTATTCTCAAGTGAGAATGTAATTATATGAGCAGAGAAACATGGGTAAGTAGCAGCATTGCTTCTGACTAGAGAAGATATGACCAACATCTGTAGCTACATAAGTAAGGGAATATATTTTTGGTATGAGATTGATAGATGAAGGTTGGGAACAGAGAGTTAAAGGTTTAGGGGGAAAAAAGGTTTGAGAAGTATGTGACAATCTATTGCAGAGATTTGGGCTCATCCATGTATATTGATAAAGTTTGTTTGAAACCTGTTGTTTCTGTTTTCAGGTCTCATCAGTGATAATATATGTTTGGTTTTCTTAGTCTTATAAATTTTAAGATTACTTGTTCAGAAGCTACAGCCTACTGTACTATTTTTGTTTATGTGCTGAGGTAAAGACATAAGAAACCAGTGTGTCTTAAACTTTCTAAGTTTGTATTATTGAAGTTAGAAGTCTGGGTTTAGAAATACATAAGTTGAAATACATGTTAACTGCATAGTTTCTGCAACTTGGGATTGGTTTTATATTGTATTTACCCAATAACACTTTTTGACTTTGGTGTACCTATGAAGTTAATGCTGCCTTGGTGGAAAGTTTAAATAGACAGTGATTTCTCTCTGGCTGGTTACTATATGTGCTGCATACTATTCAGTTAACATAAAATAGGGGGCTGATTTGATATTTAGACATATAAAATATCTGGTTCAATAATGTTTTCTTTTAATAATTAAAGTTTTCTTTGGAGCTTAGGGCAGGATTGTATTTTGTGGAATTGAGGTTGTTGCTTTTTTATTTCTTTCATTTATTACCATGGATAGTTCTTTTTACTCCATCCTCATTTTTTTCCTCCCTGATTGTTACCGCTGTTGACCGTGACGAGTCCTTGCTTCCCCAATGTTGAAGAATAACACCCGAGAAGCACGCTGAGGCAAGATCAGAGTAGAAATTAGAAGTTTATTAAAGGACAGCAGAAAAGACTTCTCCGGGAGGAAGAAGGGGACCCAAGAGGTGGAATCCGTGTAAGTGCCGTTGTTTCCCCTTTTTATAGTTCTTTCAGTGTTGGAATGTAGGTTGGAAGGCCCGAGGGGTGGGACACAGGTGGGCCAAAGAACTAATCTGGGCAGGAAGGACTTCATTAACACCTCTTTGGGATGGGCTATCTTCAAATCTGCTGGGGCTGTTCATTAAAACTTCTTTGGGATGGACTTTGGGCCTAGGGCTTTTCTTGGGACTTCATTAACATTTCAAGAGTTGCTCAACATGGCCTCCATTTTAGATTTCACTCGATATTAGACCCCATTTACCTAACTACACTGACTGCCTAATTTTAAATCTGGCTTCATGATGTCATTTTGGATAACTGAGGTGGTAGTGTAGTGCATTGTTTTCTTAAGTCCCCTAAATCCATCTTATTTTGGTAGTTAAATATGACTCTCTAAAAGTGACAATGGAGGATTGAGGGAATGATTCTCTTTTTAAAAAATTTATTTATTTTTTAGTTGTAGTTGCACACAATACCTTTATTTATATGTGGTGCTGAGGATCAAACCCAGGGCCTTGCACATGCTAGGCGAGTGCTCTGCCACTGAGCCACAACCCCAGCCCTGAGGGAATGATTCTTATAGACATCTGTTTTAGAGCATTTGTTTCTTGAACTATAGTTATAAGCATAAAAACGACATAATTAAGTCTACATCATACTTATCTGCTTGCTAATTCTGTGGTACATTTTGTCATAAGTAACCTGTAACAATTATTAATGAAACATAGCACTATGTATATGATGCGCTTGTTTTTATTTCACAGAAAAATATTTGCGGGGGGACAAAGGAAAAAATATCTTGGCAGTTCCAAACATTGGTAATACGCTAGAAGAACTCATGGGACAAAGTATATCAATGTACACATGGCTAGGTTTATTACAGAAAAATGATACACAATGGGGTCATCAAGGGAAAAAGACACAGGTGGAACTGGATAAATCCAGGCACAGTCTTCCCATGCTGTCTTCTTCCTGTGAGGGAACACACAGCCTGCTCCTTTCTCCAGCAGTGAAAAATGCAGTATTAAATGTGCTGTGTTTTGGCCAAAGGAAGACCATTAGAGACTCAGCTTCCAAGGTTTTTATTGGAAGCTAGTCACATAGGCATCCTCTGCCTAGCAACTACAAAAATTCCAGACTCCCCAAAGGAAAGCAAGTGTTCATCATAAATCACATTGTACAGTGTAGGGATAGCAAACCAGTCTTATCAGTCCAGGGGATGATTAAATGCCAAATTCCCAAATGCAAGCCAAGGGCCAACCTTGCAAGTAAGTCCTTCTAAAGACAGCTGCCTCAGACCTGCTGTGTTAACTCTTCTCTGTACTGTCCATCCCCAGAGCCCTTGCTACCAACTCTTTACAATATGTAGTCATCAATAGGAGTCCATGGGGCATGGTCAGACCAACTTGCAGTATTGACCTCAGTCAGGCTGTCCATGGGGTCCTCAATTTAGCCAGTGAAAGCAAATTCCATTAACCACAAGGTCTATCTTAAATTTCCTTATGAATCCTTTTTTTATACTTGTCCTGAGGCATCAATAGACACAGCACAACTCTAGTCAGTCCATTGAAGCTGAACTGAATGCCTTCTAGGCTGAGGCAGTGTTCTGATAGCAAGCACACATTAGAAGTCCAATCCCCGAGGGCACAGGTGGTATCCCTGGAAACAAAGAGTTTATAAATTGTTACGGTACCTCAAGCAGGACATGCATTATATATTTTATTAAATTTCTTACAAAACTTCCCTTTTATTTCTTTTAATCTATAATTTTATGGAGTTTATCTTGTGTTCATTGTCATTGCAATAATTACTAATCTATTTATGGTTAGAACTTCGCCTTTAAAGTCATTTTTTTCTACTTCTTTCTGCAGGATTATCATTGGTGATTGAGAGCCTCTTTTCAAGCAGTTTTACAGCTATTTCTTTTATGTATGCAGTTCATTAATTCTTTACCAAACTTCAAATCATGAGCATTGCAAGCACCATTTTGTACTCTGGGTACACAATGATCATAATGCTGATTTTCTTCTTTTTCACAGGTAACTGCAGAATTACTTAGTATGTTTCAGATTCTCTAAAGAGTCTTGGAGACATCCATAATGTAATAAGCATCAATTAACAATTAGTGGAAGGAATAGGGAACAGAGTCATCATGTTCATTTTTAAGCTTTGGGCATCAAAGATTACAAAGCCTGGGGAACTGGAGGGACCTTATGTACTTAGCTGTGAGACTGTCCCTTGTGAATCTTTTTAAGCAGTAGGGATGTGTTCCAAAGCACAGAAAGGGTTATGTGTAATCACCTTTGAACAGCCTCCAAGCATAAAAATTAACCAACTTGAATAACTTTTAAATTATAAAATTAGATTAATTAAATCTCTGGTCATATAAGTAATTATATGTGAAGACAAGATGTATACTTGTCAGGATTATTCATTTGAGCATATTATTTGGGTTCAAATGTGGTAGAAACTTTTGTTGAGATTAGTGCTTGAAGCAGATGAAAAAATGGAATATTTTATAAAATGGTTCAGTTGGAGAAATAATGAAGTTGGAGAGCTTTAAGACCTTCTGAACAAAATGAAACAGTTTCTTCTTGCCTCACTTTTAAGTTCTGGTTCTAGTTCAAGTCATACCACTTGCATAGATCACACTGGAGAATGTTTAAGTATTTTCTTTGATTTAAATGTAAGGTTCAGGGGCTGGGGTTGTGGCTCAGTGGTTGAGCGCTTGCCTACACGTGTGGGGCCCTGGGTTTGATCCTCAGAACCACATAAAAATAAATAAACAAAATAAAGGTATATGTCCATCTACAACTAAAAAAATATTTAAAGAAATGTAAGGTTCAACAAATACATAAAAATTAACAATGAAGGCTGGGGTTGTGGCTCAGTGGTAGAGTGCTTGCCTAGCATGTGTGAGGCACTGGGTTGCATCCTCAGCACCACATAAAATAAATAAATAAAATAAAGGTATTATGTCCATGTACAACTAAAAATTACCTAAAAATATTAATTATGAATATTTCTTAGAAATCCAAGCTGTAAGACAAATGTCAACATTATTCGAGAAGCTAGGTATCTTACCAGTGCTTCTTTTTAGAAGATAACACATGGAATATGGATTGCCTTTTATGTATTATTGGTCTCAACTCTTAGAAAAGACTATACAGGCCTCTTGTCATCTCTTGGTTGCCCAAAGTTTTATTTACAACCAAAGGCCAGAGAGCTTCTCACAATTCTAGTCTAACAAGGCTGCTTGTGTTTGATTTTAGCCTTTTATTGAAATATGCATACACAAAAGCACATGCAACCTAAGTGTACAGCATGATGGGTCATTAAAAAGTGAGCCACCTTTGTAACTATTGTTCACATCCATAAACAATACATGATCATTATCCCTGAAGCCACTGCTGGGCCTCCTTACAGTCGTCTTCCACAAGGGCAAACACTACTACCCTGGCTGTTGATAGAATGGATTAATTTGGCCTGTATTTCATTGCATATAAATGGACTTACATACATTACATGCATATTTACATACCTATACACAGAAAGACATGCTCTTTTATATCTTTTTAAATTTTTTTATTTGTTTTAATTAGTTATACATGACAGTAGAATGCACTTATATACTTTGATATATCATACATAGATGGGATATAATTTCTCATTTTTCTGAGTATACATATTGTAAAATCACATTGGTCATGCAGTCACATACATACATACAGTAATAATGTCTGTTTCATTCTACTATCTTTCTTATCCTCACATCTCCTGCCTTCCCCTCCTTTCACTTCCCTCTACCCCATCTAAGGTAATGCTATTCTTTTTTCTTTTTTTTTTTTTTTTGCATTACAACTTTGAATACACATATATGCCACAATTTTTGTATCTCTGTTTGTATATAAAGTATGTTGATACCCAATTCAAGTCTTCATACGTGTACTTTGTATAATATCTGGTTTCTTTAGCAGCTGGTTTCTTTCTTTCAATATGGTTTGTGAGATTCATCTAAATCATCATGTGTAGATGTAGTCTGTGTTTCTCAGATCTTTTGTTTTGGATCCCCTCCATCCAACATGGTGAGTTACTGGCTTTGATATTTATGTAGTATAAAATTAGATATATAGTAGTTCCCCCTTGTCAGTGGAGGAGACATTCAAAGACCCCCAGTGAAAAAAAAAAAAAGACCCCCAGTGAATGCCTGAAACTAGGTAGTATTGAATACTACATGTATACTATGTTTTTCCTCTTTATCTACATTCTTTTTTAAAAAAATATTTATTTTTTTAGTTGTAGTTGGACATGATATCTTTATTTTATTTATTTATATGTGGTACTGAGGATTGAACCCAGGGCCTTGCATTGCTAGGCGAGCGCTCTACCACTGAGCCACAACCCCAGCCCTATCTACATTCTTATGATAAAGTTTAATTTATAAATCAGACACACTAATAGAATTGATTCAAATTGTTTATTTCTGGAGTTTTCCACTGAGTATTTTCAGAGCATAGTTGATCACAGGTCGTTGAAGCCACAAAAAGTTAAAGCACAGATAAGAGGCAACTACTGCATTAAGCACAATCATTTCAGGCTATGTTTTCTTCATTACCCAACACTTTGGCTCAGATTGCCTTTTTCTGGTAGTCTTATAACAGGTTCTTTTTTCAAAATAGATGTAATCTTCAGTGGTCACATTGCCAACAAAAATCTTTTGCCATTGGTTGGCTTCATCGCAGCATTCTAGTTTCTGACACCACACTATGCTGAATACTGACCTCAAAGATCAATAGTGATCTCTTGATAAAGTTAGTGGCCTTTCACTATTCCTCACCCTCCTTGGCTTCTTTAATTAAGACAATGTAACACCTGTGGAATTCTTTCAATATCATTTGCATTATTGCATTATTCTCTATGTTCTACTCTGTGCCTTCTCCTGTTTTCCTTCCTGTTCCTGTCACCTAACTCTAGCTTTTATTATCATTTCAGTCCTTCCTTTCTATATTCTCTGTCTTAGAACTCATTCAGTATCATGACTTCACTATTTTCAATGGTGACTGCTCCCAAATTTGTATCTTTAGCCATAACCTCTATCCAGCTGTATCCTGAACATTTTCATGTTCCAGTGGTACTGCAAACTCAACATGACCCCTGAAGATGAAGTTAGGATTTCCTTTCCTCCAAATTGCTTATCTTCATATCTTTTATCTTTGACCATCATTGCTAATCTCTGATCTTCTTAGCTTATTTTGAAGGGTTTCTTAATAAACCCTTCTATAATTTATAGCTAATAAGCATAATTTCCCTAGTTACTTTCCTTAGGAAGCTTCTTATCTGTTACCATTCCTTTCTTTTTCTTCTTCGACAAGATTGGTCTAGGTCTTTATTCCCTTTTGCCTAGATTCCTCAGATTGCCTCCTATTTAGTTTGCTGCACTGTATTCTCTCCTTTTGTGTGTGTTTGTGTGTGTGTGTGTTACTGGGGATTGAACCCAGAAGTTTTCTACCACAAAACTACATCCCCAGTCCTTTTTGTTTATTTTTATTTTTATTTTGAGACAGAGTCTCACTAAGTTGCTGAGGCTATCTTGAACTTGTAATCCTCCTGCCTCAGCTTCCTGAGTTGCTAGGGATACTGGTATGCACCACCCATGTCTCTCCTTTTCTAACCCACTCTATGAGTGGCCTGCTACCACATAAACCTCTTTATTTTTTTGTATAATAGTACAATTAAGACCAAGATTAATTTTTAACAGGTCATCACATATTTAAAGCATGTTCACAGAGTGCCAGATACATGCTAGGTTCTTGAGATCTGTTGGTGAAGAAGACAGGTAAGTTGCCCTGTTTTTATCAATCTTATATTCTACTGGAAGGGAGATAAAACAAACATTGTAGATTTGGTGAACTTTTAAAAAGAAGTGATATTGATGAAGAAGTGCATAGTCAAATATTTCAAGTAGAGGTGAAAGTATGTTCAAAAGCTCTGAAGTGGGAAGGAGTTTGACATCTTCAGAGAATATGGAAAAGTTGAAGATGGTAAGGTGGGAGAGTGGCACAAGTGTCAATAGTGATGTTAGAAGAGAAGAAGTGGTCAGATCATGTGACAATATTGTAATCTATAACAAGGTTGAATTGTAGAACTGATGGAAGTTGAGGGGGTTTAAATAGGATGATAATGCATTCTTCTTATTCTAAAATTTTAATATCATACTTCCTTCTCAATAAAGATCTAAACTCACCTTAGTGTTTGGGGTCCTCCACAGTGTAACCTCACTCTGATACTCAATGTATTTTCTAAGACTCTTAAAGTTGAATCATTCATTAAGTTCAGACCTCTCTTCTTTTGACTTTTTCAGCATAAGTGTCCCTAACTAGACACAATAGTTCCTTGACAGCAGGAACTATTGAAACTGTTTTGTGTCCTTCAGAGTGCTAAGCACATGGTTTTCCTTGAATTGCAGTGAGTAAGGAAAACAAGAGATATCACCAGGGTATTGTGTTTCCTTATGTATTCTAAAATTAAATTATGGGTGTGGAAATCTCCCAAGTATATTATGGCTACCATTCATATTATGAAAAAACTAGTAAAATCATGAAGTGTGTTTTTGACATCTGTTTTCCAGAACTGTTCCTTAAGAAGCCTTGTCAGCTTACAGAGTCTTAAATGGCATCTATGTACTTTTTGTCATTATATTTCCACAGCAGGAAGCAATGCTTATTATGTCATTGCATTTTTGAGGAAGAAGTCCTATTTTTGTGGTTTTGTGGTAAACCCAGGGGGGCTTTACTACTGAGCTACATCCCCAGCTCTTTTATTTTATTTTAAATTTGAGGCAGGGTTTCACTAAGTTGCTGAGATTGGCCTGGAACTTTCAATACTCCTGTTTCAGCCTCCTGAATCACTGGAACTACAGGTGTATGTCACTGAGATTATAGGTGTATGCCACTGCACCCAGGAAATAAGCCCTTTAATATTTAGACTTGGTAATATAGTTGTGCACAAAGTATAATTATTAAGTGCTGATTACTTTTGC